CTGTCTGCCATTCTCAACAACTTTATTCAGAAAGAGACAAGCTAGGCAGAGAAACAAGAGCAGATGCCCCGAACAGACAGACAGAGCTCCAGCCACAAGGGCCTGGGAAAGCCTTGAAAAAAGGCCTCTCCAGGGTGGGAGTGGGGAGTCAAGTTGACGGGGGAAGGGTAGGTTGGGGAGCCAGCAGCCTGGATGCAGGCCAGACAGAGCTGGAGTCAAGGATGGTGTGAGAGGGGAGGAGGTGATGCCGAAGATAAAGAAAGGGCTCAGGCTGACAAGTTAAGACTCTTCTGGGTTAAACCAAACACAAAACGCATCCAGAAAGCTCAGCCTGATTCATTCTTCCATTTCTGAAAACAGCACCAGCAGCGACCAAAGCCAGACAGCCATTCTTTTTTTTTTCATAAATTTATTTTTATTTATTTATTTATTTATTTTTGGCTGCATTGGGTCTTCGTTGCCACGCACAGGCTTTCTCTAGTTGCAGCGAGTGGGGGCTGCTCTTGGTTGCGGTGCGCGGGCTTCTCATTGCGGTGGCTTCTCTTGTTGCGGATCACGGGCTCTAGAGCGCGCAGGCTTCAGTAGATGTGGCTCGTGGGCTCCGTAGTTGTGGCTCGTGGGCTTTAGAGGGCAGGCTCAGTAGATGTGGCTCACGAGCTTAGCTGCTCCGCGGCATGTGGGATCTCCCCAGACCAGAGCTCGAACCCGTGTCCCTTGCATTGGCAGGCGGATTCTTAACCACTGTGCCACCGGGGAAGCCCCCAGACAGCCATTCTTGACGCCTCCCTTCTAATGCATCACAGTCTGCACCCTCCCCCAAATTTTTCTCCACCTCCTGCCCGAGCATCTCACCAGTCTTCTGATGGCTTTCCTTCACTTCCCCTTTTCTCTGTTCCATCTCCACCTGGCTGCCAGAAGAAAATCCTTAGAACACAAGTGAAATGCCACCCCCTTTTTTAAAATCCTTCAATGGCTCTCATTGCTCTTAGAATAAAATAAGAAATAGTGGCAATTCCCTGGTGATCCAGTGGTAAGGAGTCCGTGCTCTCCCAGCTGAGGGCCCGGGTTTGATCCCTGGTCAGGAACTGAGATCCCACAAGCTGCGCAAGGCGCAGCCAGAAAAAAAGAAAGAAAGAAAAAGAAAAGAAATACTTACTGTGGCCCTCAGGTCCTTCAGGCTCTGCACGATCCAGCCACTGATGGCCCGCCCCCAGCTGCCAGGCACTCCAGTTATGGGACCTTGAACAGCCCCAAACTGTCCTTAGAGACTCTACCCCATGGTTTTCTCTGCCTAGAGCACCTTCCCCTCTGCTCTACCCCACTGAGTCCTCCAGGACCCCCCCTAAGTGCTTTGTCCTCCAAAACACCTGCTCTTCTGATGCTCTGCCCACCCCCAATCTAAATGAGGTCTTCTCTATGGCACTCTCTCCCTCTACTCCGCTTCTCCTTCATAGCACCTACCACACAGGTAATTGCATATATATATATATATATTTTTTTTTTTTTTTTTTCTATCGGGTCTTTTTTGCGGCACGCGGGGTCTTCGTTGAGGCGTGCGGTGTCTTCGTGGTGGTGCATGGGCTTCTCTCTAGTTGTGGCACCCAGGCTCCAGAGCTCGTGGGCTCTGTAGTTTGCGGCACACGGGCTTTCTAGTTGAGGCGCGTGAGCTCAGTCGCCGTGGTTCATGGGCTTAGTTGCCCTGCGACATGTGGGATCTTAGTTTCCTGACCAGGGATCCAACACGCATCCCCTGCATTGTAAGGTGGGTGCTTTACCACTGGACCACCAAGGAAGTCCCTTGCATATTTATTGATGCATTTACTTTTTAACCATCTTTCCCTGCTAAAGGTCTGTTCTCCTCCCCCCCACAGCCCCCATGAGGGCAGAGATCTTGTCCATTTTATTCATTTCTGTGTTTCCAGTACCTAGCAGGGTGCCCAGCTCCTAGGAGGCTCTCAGGAAACAATAGTTGGATGAATAAATGAAAGGGTCCCTCACCTCCCCCACCCCACACTCAGAGACGGGACTTGCTTACCCAAGGACTCTGCACACTGTCTGCCTGCTCCCTGGCCCTGACCCTCTGCCCTCAGCTGCCGAATGTGGCCTCTCTTGGGGCAGGAACAGAAGGCTCTGGCCCCAGGGCATCCCGGTCTTGCAGGGAGAGGAGGCTCCCCAGCCCACACAGAGGCTCTGAAGCGTGACCACCAACTGTGCACTGTGCCGATGGAGGGAGAGGCCGCTTCAGGCCGTGTGAGGAGCTAAGCTTTGGAGAAGCAGCTGAATGCCAGTGGGTGAGAGGGCAGCATACCATGCAGGGGAGGTTGGAGCTGAGGCCTGCCTGGAGGAACACACACCGGAAAGGGCAGGGGCCATGTCTTGAAGGGCCTCTAATACCCATTTGGACTTTATTTTGGACAAAAAGAGGGGGTGCAGCTAAAGGGATTTTGTGTCTTGTTTTATGGTTTTTTAAACAGGGCTCTGACATAATAAAATGTATGTTTTGAAGGATCCTCTGGCAGCACTGTGGAGGATAGATCAGAGATGCTAAGAGCTTACTATTGCTAAGTGCTATGTACGTAATGAGATTTATTTTATTTAACTATTACAACACCCTTGTGAGGTAGATGTTATATATAATTGCTGTTTTCTAGATTAGAAGCCTGAGACTCATAGCAGCCCTCTTCATTGGAAAAGTGCTGCTTCCCATCCCATGGGATTCTGATGCGATTGTTAATCACCAAACCAGACCTGTTCCTTGGCCATGGGTGTGGCATGAGGTCCAGGCCTGGCCAATCAGTGGGCCCCTTGCTTTGCCAACAGCAACTAGACCAAGGGTCCAAGGGATGGTCATGTGATATAAGCAGAACCAGACTGAGTCCTTCTGGGATGTTGAAGATATAGACCCTGGGAGAGAGTCCCACTTGTTTTTGGATCTCAAGCGGTAACCATGTAAGCTTGGGGCATATGAAGCCAATTTCCTATGACTTAGAGAACATTTCTGTGTGATAGGATTGAAGGCGACCAATGCACAAAGAAACAGAGGTGAGCAAGATGGATGCAAAGGGAGAGGCTGATGTACTTGTTTGGGTCCCTGGACTTAGCCATACCTGAAGCTAGACCCAGCTGAAAATTCCCAGTACATAAGCTATTGAATTACATTATTTTGTGTTTAGTTCAAAACTATACATGTACTCCCCCACCATGTTCAGAGCAGCACTATTTACAATAGCCAAGACATGGAAAATAATCCAAGTACCCATCAACGGACGATTGGCCTAAGAAGATATGGCATGTATATATATATGTGTATATATATATATATATATATACACATATATATATACTATGGAATATTACTCAGCCATAAAAAAGAATAAAATATTGTCATTTGCAGCAACATGGATGGACGTAGTGATTATTATACTAAGTGAAGTAAGTCAGACAGAGAAAGACAAATATTATATATCACTTATATGTGAAATCTAAAAAATAATACAGGGAATTCCCTGGTGGTTCAGTGGTTAGGACTCCACACTTCCACTGCAGGGGGCCAGGGCTCACTCCCTGGTCAGGGAACTAAGATCCTGAAAGCCGGGCAGTGTGGCCAAAAAAATAATAATACAAATGAACTTGTTTACAAAACAGAAACAGACTCACAGACATAGAAAACAAATTTATGGTTACCAAAGGGGAAAGGGGATGGGGGAGGGATAACTTAGGAGTATGGGAATAACAGATACACACTAACATATATAAAATAGGTGAACAACAAGGATTTACTGTATAGCACAGGGAACTGTATTCAGTATTTTGTAATAGCCTAAAATGGAAAAGAATTGAAAAAATATATATATATATATCCGAATCACTTTGCTGTACACCTGAAACTAACACAATATTGTAAACCAACTATACTTCAATTAAAAACAAAAACAAGGGGCTTCCCTTGTGGCGCAGTGGTTGAGAGTCCGCCTGCGGATGCAGGGGACACGGGCTCGTGCCCCGGTCCAGGAAGATCCCACATGCCGCGGAGTGGCTGGGCCCGTGAGCCATGGCCGCTGAGCCTGCGCGTCCGGAGCCTGTGCTCCGCAACGGGAGAGGCCACAACAGTGAGAGGCCCGCGTACTGCAAAAACAAAACGAAAACAAAAACAAAAAATCCAGACAACTGAAGCTCAGAGACACTAAGTAACTTGTCTGAGGTCACACAACTAGCAAGTGGCAGAACCAGGATTTGAGCCTCTCTTATTCTAACACTTGTGCTCATTTCGCCCTATCACAGCATGATAATGTAAAGAGCAAACAGGCAAACCAGTTAGGAGGTGAGAAGTGAGAAAGCATGGTCTAGGGCATTGGCCTGGGGAAGGAGGGCAGGCATTTGAGAGAGATGATGATGGAATTTGGGAAGACACGGGACAGACCTGAGTGTGGAGGCTCAGTGAGGTGAGTGGGAGGAGGACCCAAGGGGCCTGGAAGACCCAGGAGACAGGGCAGATGGGGCAGAGTGAGGGATCTCAAGGCAGAGATGGGTTTGTCTCAGACACAGGGGATACCTGGGTAAGAGCAAGGCCAGCCTGTGGGCGGTGACGAGCTCGTCTGGAACCAGGTGGGAAGCCAAGGCCAGGCCCAGGGTCGCCCACAGATTGGGGTTGGAGGAGAGAGAAGGAACAATTGGAGGAGGAGGAAGCTGTGTCACCATCATGGGAGAAGGTGGGAATCAGTTCCCCAGCGTGCCAGCTCAGAGTCAGGGGGGCCCTGGTGGCCTTGGAAGCCAGAGCAGGAGACAAAGGAGGCTGGAGGAGGGGAAGTGAAGGTGATGCTCATGGATTCAGCAGCAAATGAGGGGGTGGTGATGAGAAAGGTGAAGGGAAGGTGGTTCCCTCCCAGGTGTGTAAGTCGCACCGGTGCTGCTGAAACATCGACTCTCTCACACTGCAGTTTAGAGGCAAAGTTGAACTCAGGTGACTTACCCAACCCCTTCCCAATGAGCCAGAGACAGGCTTTATTTTCTAAAACATTTTAATAAAATTAACCAATAAATATTCTACACTGTATGGGCTACAGGGACAAAGAGTGGAAGACAGAGGGCCGGTCTTCCCAGTCGGGCCCTCAGGTCCCCTTGCAGAAAAAGAGAGAGACGGTGCTCTGGGCTGGTTGGGGCTGGGACTGCTGACTTGGGATGGGGGGAGTGATTCTGGAACGGATGATCTGGGGTCCTGCCATCCATCCCACTTTGTTGGTGTATGGGAGGAGAGGAGGGGCCAAAAAAAGCAGAGCCCCTGCAGGAGGCATCCTAGCACCCCCAGAAGTGACTGGGGTGAGGGGAGAGCTAGCCTAGAAGGAAGGAATGGGGGAGGGGCAGCCCATGAGGCAGTGAAGCAGGGAGCATGGGCTGGTGGCAGGCTCTGGCGGCTCTTGGGCCACAGCCACTCACTCTCGGACGTAGACCCTGGTGCACACGATGTCGTCCGCCGTCATGGTCTGAAAGGGGAGAAGTCATTGTTAGCCTGGGTCCTGTGCTTGGTTGCAGGAGGGTTGAGCGGAGGTACTCTGCTTGACCTCCAGGTCCAAACCTACTTCTTGGCTCAGGACTGACAGGTAAGAGCTGGTCACAAAATGCCTGGGCATCATGGGATGGAGGACAATACAGCCCCAGGGGTCCATCCTAAGTCTTTCTCCCCAAGCCAGGAAGATCCCCGCGGAGAACTGTTGGGACCTCTCAGCGCATGTCCTTTGTTCCAAATGGAAGGGACACCCTTTTACGTTTGCACAAGGACACTGTATGGGACAGGAACAGCCTAGTCCTGCCCCAGCAGCCTCATAGGAGACGGGGAGACCAGCCACAGTTGTTCTTAAATCTCCTGCACCCTGGAATGTCCCGGAAAATCTCTGAAGGTAGCGCTGGGCTTGCTCTGAGCTGAGAGGAGGCAGGCCTTACCAGGATCAGCTCTCCATCATTGGTCAGTTCTCTGGTCCAGGAGGTCTTGGGACCCTCTCCCTTCAAAAGCCTCTGCTCGCAGACCATTTTGTTCTCACTCTCCCATTTTACCAGGCTCTGCATGAGAGGGTGGTCAAGTGAGGTGGGCCCACAGCAGGGACAATGCTGTGAGAGGTATAGGGGATGCACCCCCTTCCTACCCACCACCACTATCTAGGGACTTTCTCCACTGGAACTGGAGGAAAGACTCTAGGAAAAGACTGGAAAATGTCATGTTGAGAGGCAGGGCAATAGATGCCATAAGCCTGAGGGACCCCGTCCCGGCACGCACCTTACAGGGTCTCCCGTCCACAGTCTGCTCCTCAAACTCTTCTCCAATGTTGAAGTTGATCTCTGTGGTACGCACGGTGGTAGAGGTTTTGATGTAGAAAGTGTCTCCCTCCTGTTTGATCTCCACTGCTGGCTTGGATGCTGCAGCCACGGCGATCTTCCTCAGCATCACGTTCACCCCTGGAGGGAGAGGAGAGGCTCGACTCTTACGGGTGCTCCAGGTGCCTGGCTCACACTCTCCCCAGGGACAGCAGGAGCAGGCTGAACTGTGAGCGGCTGGGAAGAGGGGCAAGCTGCCTGGGTGTCCAAGAAAGCACCTTGAAGGGAGGGCAGGTGGTACAGCCCTGATGGCTGGTGGGTTCAGGGAGGAGGGACAGAGAGGCAGTGCCCCGCCCTTGGGAGTTCTGCTTCTAGCTACGGCCCCACCTGGATGAGTCAGCAGCCCTGGATCGGGATCCCCAAGTCTCAGCTCTTCACTCGGTTCTTGGGGGCAGCTTCCCCCTATTCCTCTCATCCTGCGACAGCTCGCCTTGGCTCAATTCACCTCACTTTTGGTCCTTTGTCCATCCTGCTGGAGACCATCTGCTGGGGTGAGCTCATCAGAGTCACTGCGTCTGCTCCCCCGCCCACGTGCAGGGCAGGCCTTCCCCGGCCAGGCCTCACTACTCACGTCCTGGAGTAGGGGCCACTTCCCTCTCTGCCCACTCACCTCCCCTGTCTTGTGGCCTTTATTTGCTGAGCCTCTGTCCCTCCCCGGGATGAGAAGGAGCAGGGATTCTCAGCAGGGGAAGAGGTGGGACAGCTGTTTCCCCCTACAGAATGGTCAGCAGCCTGGGGACACCACCGGCTGTGAAATAAGATCCATTAGGCCATGATTTCCACCTGGCTCACCCTCCCTTGCAGGCTGGGTGACCCTGGGCAAATGGCTTAACCTCTCTGAGCCTTAGATTCCACAACTGTAAAATGGAGACAGTAACTTCTTCAAGAGCCTATCACATGGGATGATGTGTGTTTAGGCCCTAGCACACGCAGTGCCAGGCACATCTATATGTTTTCGGGAAACAATAGCTACTCTTATCGTTATTGTTATTTTCACTGATAAAAGGAAGGCAAAGAAAAAGCCAGACAAAGTTCCCTGCATCGGATTCCTGCCCACCTGCCCTCCTGGAACAAGAAAGGGACACTCCCCTCCCCTCCCCTGATGTGGGCCCGACTCCAGGAACACCCACCCCACTTCAGGGGTCAGGTCTTCTCATCCAGCCTCTGTGGATTCAGAGTCCCTGTGCCTGTCCCCCTATCCTTTCCCAGATTGGACCCCTTCTCTCTATTCCCTAGTTATTTAAAAGGAGTGGAGGAGCCGGAGAGAGCAGCCCTCTGGCAGGAAGTCAAGCAGGCAGGGAGGCACCTCTAGTCAGGGCCCAGGTCCAAGCTCTACACCTTTCACCTGGCCTGGCCTCCTGCCCTGAACTGGAGCAGAACGCTTCAGGGAAGCAATGGGTGGGATGAGGGGCCAAGCTGGGCTGGGCCAGGCAAGTGGGATTCCCTATCTCCCAATGCGGTCCAGACCCCCTGGCCCTCCTCCAGACCTGGGTCCCTAGAGAAACAAATCCCCTTTCCCCTCGGCACCAGAGCAGACCCACTCTATTCCAGACAGAAGGGAGTGGGAGGAAGCCCTCTCCCTCAGGAGCCCCAGGAGCCTACTTCTTGGCTGCCAATCTCTTGGGTCCAGGGAGAAATGACTGAGGTTCCCAGGACTAATTGACTTGGTAAAAGAGACATATCCCACTCCACCTCCTTGGACAAAAAGACTACTTCGCTCTCTGGTGCTACCCGGGAAGTCCATCCGTTATCCATCTTTCCCGTTATAGGAACAGGAGCTGCTAGCTATGTGTCGTAACCATAATACTGGATGGGACGGGTATCCCCCAAATACCTGAGCATCCCTCCCCAGGAGAGAGACTCTTGCATAGGACAAAGAGGGGTGAGAAGGGACTGAGATTCCTGCGGAAGCAAGGCTAGGTCCAGAGGAGACACCCCTCCAGCCAGCTTCTGGTACCTGTGGTGCTGGGGCCAGGCTCAGCCAACGTTGGCTGATTCAGGACTGTGTTTGTCTAACGGGTCTGTTTTCAATCTGCCCCACAGCAAGCCCTGAGGAGGGCACGTGGCTCTGAGAGACCCCACAGGGAGGACAAACAGACTGAAGACAGACAGACAACAGGGTTGGGTTTGGGATCTTATCCTCCAGCTGGGGCCTGGGGGTGTGCCAGGCCACTGCCTCCTCCACTGGGGAGAGGGGCCAGAATCCAGAGAAGTTGGGGGATGGAATGGCATCTAGGCTTTCTGAAGGGAAAATTGTTATCCTTTGGCAGGATCTTGGTGGCACGCGGGATCTTGGTTGCAGCATGAGGCATGCATGCGGGATCTAGTTCTCCGACCAGGAATCAAACCCAGGCCCCCTGCACTGGAAGTGCGGGGTCCCCATTGGACCACCAGGGAAGTCCTGGATCTTTAATTTCAACAAGGGTAGGGCAAGAAAGGCTGACATGATTACAAGAAATACTGTGGTCAGACTGCAAGCAGAACTAATGGTAAGGAAGGATGGAAATCCCTGCTTTCCTCACTGCATTCCAGCCCCTTCCTAGTTCCTGGCTCATTTCTACAGCCCCCGGCCCCACACAGGGTGCCCTCTGCTCATTCCAGCTGGGGTCTCTCTGTTCAGTTCAGAAATTGATGGCTCCAGGGTTTCCAGGTGGCTTCCCAGTGGCTGGGTCCTTGACTAACCTCCATCTCTTTGCAGAGCCCTCTCCCCAGCCGGCCCAGGCTTTCCCCACCCCTCCTCCCCAGACACCAGAGGGCACACTGGAGTTGGGAAGGGCAGTCTGGGTAGATTCAACTTCCTCCACCTTTAACCAACAGACCTAGCTGGGCTGCAGCCCGTCTCCAGGGAGGCAGGGAGAAGAGAATTCGGATTTTCTCAAAGGGAGGGGATGGCTGGGGTTTCACACGAAGCCATTTGTTGAAATCTAAGAAAGTGATAATTATCCAGAGCGAGTTTAGGATTCTGGAGCTGCTCGCTGTAGGAAAATATTTGTCTCACAGATGGAGGGTGGGGGGAGCAGAGTGGAAAAGTTCTGAAAGGGGAAGAAAGGGGGATCTGGGGGCCCAGCGGTGACGGATCACCTGGTGGGTGGAGCCCCGCACAGAGAGATCTGGAATCTGGCCGGGGATTGGGTTACCTGCGGGGGGCAAGGGGAAGGAGGCAGGAATGCCTGGGGTGGGGGTGGGAGGCTCGGCTGGGTAGGGACCCAGGCTCCCACCCTGGATGCAGGGTTTGCAGCTTCCGAACTGCGGAGAACCCCACTGCCTCACCCCAGGGAATACCGACCTCATGCTTCTGGTTTCTACTTGATTCAGAGGCTGAGTCGCCGCAGGAGTTGGCGTCCGTGGGCGCCCCGCCAGAGGAAGAAGGATTTAGGTGTTCGGGCTCAGCGCCCCGGGACCCAGGCGTCTGACCCCTATTCCTGGGAATGCAGGCGCCCAGCTTCCCACGCCCTGATTCCAACTTCCCTTTCTTTCTCGTACCCACCTCCGAGGCCTCGGCGGAGCCCCCTCTCCTCTCCCGGGCGCTCAAAAATCTCCTTACCCAGAACTTTGAGCAAATCCTCAAAGTTCTCCGATCGGATGATCTTCCAGTTGCCAGAGAAGTTGGGCATGGTGGCGGTGCTAGTGGCGGTCCCCTTAGATCCTTCGGCTGGAGCACTGGACGCTGAGTCCTTTAGTCGAAAGAGATGTCTCCGCCGCCTTCGCCGGATGGTAAGACTCAGGAACCAGGACTCGTCCGAGGACAACCCTAAAGCCGGCCTGGGCTCTCGCGCGGGCAGCTTTTATACCCTTTGTGGACCCGCCCTTGCCCAAGAATGAGGTGGTCCCGCCTCCCGCTCCGCCCCCCCCTCCACCCCACCTGGGGGGCCTTGAGCCCCGGCCCTGCATTACCACCCCACCCCCACTCCCACCCCATCCTCTGGATCTAGCCCAGTGGGCGGGTCCAGAATTCGCTGAGAGGGCCCGAGATTGCTGGCTCCCGCGCCAGTGGGTGGATGAGGAGGCGGACGGAGGGCTATAGCCCTCGGACTGGGCTCTCAACCGAGAGGAGAGGGCGCTAGGCCCGGGGCACAGATGCTGGGCTCTCATGCCCTGCAGTCCGAGGCACAGGGTCGCACCTCGCTTGTTCCCCATCCCTGCCCAACCTGACACGGTGCGCTCGACTCCTTGGCGCCGGACACCCGGCGACACCACCGGCGGGTGAACCCCTGCTTGCAAGCCAGAGCTGGGGAAGAGAATGGGCGGCCAAGCTCCGGCTCCACTGAAGCTTGAGTTGGATCCAGTGTGACCGCTCCGAACTCGAGATCGGCTGGGGAGCCCTGGGGTTTAGGGGCCAGGCACCTAAGTGAGGCAACGGCGCCCCCTACTGGAACAACTCGAAGAGGCTGGGAGGGGGCTTCACCCCCTACCCACCACCCTCGACTCCCCACCCGGTATCGGGCTCCAGTAGCGCCTGCAGACTCTGGAAGTTGAAGCAAAGAGACTCATTCTTCTTAAAGCGTTGGGCGGGCATCGAAGGGTTAACCAGGAGCCTGGAGCGCCAGGCTGGGGAGGGCAGAGGTCACAGCCAATCACTTGACACGAGCTCTTTATTACGGCGCTTTCTCTGTCACTCGGCTCCCCAGACCCCCGAGGGAATCGCAGTAGGCGGCAGGGAGGGGAGGCGGGGACTGAGGCGCGGAGCCCTCGGCGCGCCGCGCTGCCACCTAGGTTGGGGGGAGTCTGGGTGCCCCGGGGAAGGGGCGGAGCGGGGTCTCAGGTGTCACCATTCTGAGCCGTAAAACTGGCGGAAGGAGAGGCCGCCCCGCCGCGAGCAGCTTTGAAGTGGGAGATCAAAGGAAGGGGGTAGGGAACGGCTCCCCGCGGAGACCCAAGTGGGAGTGAGCGAGACCCCGGGGGAGAGGGCCAGGAGACAGAGAAACAAATGGAAGTCAGGCAGGGAACCTCGGAGACAGGCCGGGAGACTCGAGACCGCCGACCGCAGAGGATGCGGTACCCTGAGCGGGCGGAACCCGGGGGCCTGTCTAGCGTTGAGGGACACTGCAGCCCAGCTGCCCTCGGCGAATCCGTGCACGTGGCCCCGATGCCCGTACCGCACCCCACCCCCGCCACCCTGCCGGAGCTGTCCTCCCAGCTTCTTCCGAGACGGTGAAGAAAATCCCCTCATCTGGTCCCAGCCCTGGGTTCCTGCCCTGGCCCCTCCCTGCCAGCGTGGCCATGGGTGGAGCAGAGGACAGGCTCTCCGAGATTCTAAGCCCTTTCACTTAGAGTCCGGGAACGGTCTAAGGAGGTAGGGGCCTTAGTTGGGGAGGAGCCCGGAGGAGGAGAGCCAAGGGAGAGGGGCTGGAGGATTTACCAAAGACACACTGGAGGTCGAGACTCTGTGCTGTAAAGAGGAAAATCTCTGAATTACGGGTGTGTAGGAAAAAAATAATGCAACTAGGGTGACTCTGGAGCAGGAGGGATGGAGATTAGACTGTAGAAAGGACTTCTTGACAGGGTCCCACCCTGCAATAACCAATAAAATGTCAATTCTGAAGAAGGGAGTTGGATGCTCCAGCCTGGTTTTAGGGTTCCAGGTTTGGTGTGGGAGAGTTTATTTGGGGGTGCAGGTGGCCTGGTCTTCTAGAAGTGAGGGGGCAGCAGGTCGAAGGGCTCTCGGAGGATGGACAGACAAAAGCAGAGGTGGTGGAGGGAAGGGGGTGGTCCCTGGGGGGTGCTTAGGGCCTGGGGTTAAGGCACAGCCTGTGCTCCTCCCCCATCCACCCGGCTCCAGCAACGCTGTAGGTAAAGGGAGGGGATTAGGTTCTGACAGTGAAATCAGGCTCCCAGCCAAAGGGATGAGAGGCTGGGGGAGGGAACATGGCGGAAAGCAGACTCCTGCTGCCTCTTCTTCCCCCTCACTGCCCCCTACCTCTTCCACCCAGGTCCCATGTCCATCTCCACTCCAGCCCTCTTGAGACCCCAGCCAGAATAGTCCAGCCTCCTCCTCAATATGCATCCCTCCTGCTGCAAAAGAGAAGGGCCAGTGGTGGCCCTCTCCCCGACAAGCCTTGTGAGAAGGATGTAGAAACCTCGCTCAAAAGATGGTCAACCAGAATGAGGGAGCCTAGACCTGCAGGAGCACAGAGGAGGGATGTGGTCTGGCTGAGGAAACTGGAGAGGCTGGAGGTGGGGGCTCCCTGGGGTGGAGGAAGGAGGCCTGGGCCCACTCCCCTCCCTTCACTTCCTCACTCCCCCCACTGGCCAGGCAGCCAGAATTTCCAAAAAGACAGAAGTAAGACAAAGGAAGGTCGGGCTGGGAGGGGAATTTCTTCCAGATGTGCTTGTGGTTTGGCAGCTCTGGGCCTGAGTTTCAGCCCCCGCACCCCAACCCTGGCTGAAGGGGGTGGGCAGAGGGTCCAGAGCATGGTGCCGGGCAGCTAGGCTGGATGTCTCAGCCTCCAGCAGCCCTGTTACCCCACAGAAGCATGGAGGCTCATGTGTAAGGGGTGCTTAGGGGAGATTCAGGGGAAGGGGGTTGGGGGACTGGGGTTGGGAGCAGTGGGATGAGAGGGCTGGGGGTACCGGGAAAGGGGGCTAACAGAGGAGGCTGGGGGAGCCTAGGGGCAAGGGGCAGGGACTAGGGCCC